GGGAAGATTCCTGCTGCCAGAGATCCTGTGTGCTGGGGCTCCTGAAAGGAGCGCGCCAGGTCTAAACCATGGTCTTGCACCTGACACATGGGAGCCTTCCCACCAGAGCGGCTGCCTCACCGTCTTGAGATTCCCAAGAGAGCCTCACCACCTTTTGTCCTCTGCTGAGTCCAGACCCAAACTTGCTCTCAGCCTGCAGCTGGGCTCGGGGCTTGAGGTCCCCCCAATAAATGACTTTCCCCACTGTCACTATGTCCTCCTTTGCAACAGGATACAGACGCAGCCGAGGCCTTGCCTCCTCTGACCTCCTGCCACCCCACTGCACCCTGCTCCCAGGCAGAGGCACCTAGAACAGGATCAGGCTCTCTACAGATTACTGTTAAATGTCCAGGAATTCTGTCAGCCGGCTGTTGAACATTGACACTACTAAAAATTACATTACATAAATTTATGATTTAAAAGATTATAGTACAAACAGCTAATAAATACTGAAAACATTATATATCTTAGTTGATTTACTACATTTTACTATTATTGTGCTTCTAAGGTTATTTACAGCAAACCTGTCTCTATGGTGAAAATACAACAGAAATGGTGCCTGGCAGCCTAGTGACCCCCAAGTTTGGGGACTTCACACGGAGGCCCGAAATCACATTGCTGGGGAGAATTTACACGACAAAAATTGACACGCGAGAAGAAGAAAGGCTTATAGTCTCTCGAGAGCAGAAAGTTAAACACTTACCAGCACACCCCTGTCTGACTGATCTCCAGGATTTTAGACTCCCGGGGACATCCTCAGCCCAGCTTGTGGAAAGCGAACTGTATACTAAATTTAAAGAGAGCAAGGGGCATAGTAATACCACGGCGAAGGGAACCCAGGAGTGCTTTAATCCTAACTATCTCCAGTTTGGGCCAACCTTCCCTGTGAGGCTCACCGGACCGACCCACTGACCGCATGCCCTCGGATACTGATGTCCCGCTTCAGTGTTCTGGGCTGGACACGTGCCGGGACCTGCTGGCGGAGGCCTCTCTCCACAGCCGCTTCAGGGCTCACCTCCCGCTGCCCTGCTCCTCGCCCTTCTGTCTTTCTTCTCCGCACACACAGTTCTGGCCATCTCAAACTTCGTTCATTCCTCAAATACCCTATGCCAGGGGTTTGCAAACTCGGAAGCCTGCAAGGACCGTGTGGTAGCAGCTTGGTGCCAGGCTCTGAGGAGGGCATGCTGTTCCCTGCCCTCCTCCCCTCTGCCTGCGCCGTGGAGGGAGAAGGCCCTGCAGTGATCTTATTTGCCAAGAGAAATCAGGACTCTGGATCTTTGTGAAAGAAGAATTTCTCTCCTTTGAAGGTAGAAAGTACTAGAAATTTCCAGAAATTGTAACTACGTGAGGTGGATATGCTCACCTCCCTTACCCTGGCTATCATTGTACAGCATAGACGCATTACCAAATCAGTACACTGCGTGTGTGACACACACTGTGTGTGTTGATCGTTTCTCCATAAAGCTGGAGGAAAAGGAGGTAAATAAAACACATTGCATTTCTCAACTCCTGGGAAATCCACCCCCCCCCCTTATTTTCGTGCGTATTCCGGGCTAAACCAGCGGACAGTGACAGGTGTTGTACTCAGAGGCCACCAATGCGAGGCCCCCCAGCCTCTCAGCCCACCTAGTTTCAACACATTCATGCAACTTGACAGCAACCCTCATTAAACATGAGGGGTCCCTTACACCTCAGGCTTTTGAGAAAGCCTCGGGCACAACCCAGAAAACTCAAATGTGGGGATGGTTCTCCCCCAGGGCAACTTTAGCCAACAGATGAAAGGAGTTGGTGAATCCAAGTCCCTGCATTCCTGCTCTCTGGTGGGACAATTCTGAGGCACCTCTAAATGACTCCTCAGGGACACCCACGGGGTTGAACTCCAGGTGGCCACAAGGCTAACAGGCTCACCTGCACACCGTTCAGTGGTCAACTTTGAGTTCTCATTCCCCGCTCTGGAGTCACCCCAAGCAAGCTTCCTGTGCGTACCCAAGTGCTTGTCTCGGTTGGCTTTCGGGGAAACCAAACCGTCCACGTGGATGGATGCTCTCACTGCGGGTTTTCGCACATGCTGTCCCCTTGTCGTGAACACTCCTGAACCGCTCTGCAAGAATCTGTTCAAGATCAGATCCTCTGGAAGTCGTCTCCGACCCTCCTCTCTTCCAATGCTGTGCGATCCCACTGCGCCATTTCCCTAAGCACATCACTCCCGCACGTGCAAACTCTTATGAAGCTACAATACAAAGAAACTTACACTCTCTTTTAAGTTTTAAGGACATGTCCATTGGATCCTAAGGCCCCATCCCCATTCCTGTTTTACAGGCGCGGAAAGGGAAGCTCAGGAAACCAAACGTAGGCTGGACGTGAACTCACGGGACACCTTCCAGGATGCTGACTCCTTTAAACCTGAGGTTCGGTGCCTAACATTGCAGTGACTAATGGGAGGAGCTGAGGACTTGCAGCAGCGGCTCCCCAGCACCCCCAGCAAAGCAAACCTCAGGGGAGGGGAGAGAGGAAGGTAGCTCAACTAGGCTGAACTTCCATTTCAGGAGTTGCCTTTTAAAGGAATATTTAGAGAGCACAGAGATCCACAGAAGATGTAAGTCGCAAGTTTTTTGTTGTTTTAAATTTCAAACCTTAGATTTTTTTTGTCTCTAGATGTTCAATCTGGGTCTATTTTATATTTTACGTTTTTCTCATCATGCTCACACCTTCTTCTGCCTTCTTGAACACATGGAGGAAGTTTTCACATCGCTGTCTACTAATTCTGTCATCCATTTCACTTGAGTCTGCCTTTTCCTTTTTAAGAAGAAAAAAATTGGGGGGCTGCCTGGGTGGCTCGGTAGGTTGGGCGTCTGCCATTGGCTTGGGTCGTGGTTTCGGGGTGCTGGGATGGAGCCCTGCATGGGGTTCCCAGCTCAGCAGCGAGTCTGTTTCTCCCTCTCCCTTTGCCCCTCCCCCCGCTCTTAAGTGTGCTCTTTCTCTCCAATAAATGGAGAAAATCTTTAAAAAAATTTTTTTTTAATTTAAAAAAAAATTAAAAATCTTTAAAAAAACTTTTTTTAAATTTAAAAAAAAAAATAAAAATCTTTAAAAAAAATTTAAGTAATCTGGGGATAATTAGTAATCTTAAAGTTGCACTAAATCATGCATAGAGTATCAGAAAATACAATCTTCAGAAAAAGCTCTCAATCTATTTAGTTCAATAGCATTCATTGTAATATGGAATTAGGGATGATATCAGAAGTTTGAGGGTCAGGAATCCAATCTCTCATGTTGTAATAAAAATTAGACACAAAACCTTAAAAATCAGACATGAAAAATTAGACACACACTGCCTTCTTCCTCTATTTCTAGAGAATGTTACAAAGTTTAGGTCTGGCTTAGATATTAATGACTGAATACAACTGTATTTCCATGCGTTTTTAACTTAAATAAACATTAAAACAAAGTCCCTGGGAGCACCTGGGTGGCTCAGTTGGTTAAAGCGTCTGCCTTTGGCCTGGGTCATGATCTCAGGGTCCTAGGATCGAACATGCTCAGAAGGGAGCCTGATGTTCCCCCTCTCTTCCCCCTCTCTCTCCCTCTGCCCCTGCTTGTGCTCTCTTGCTCTCTCTCAAATAAACAAATAAAACCTTCAAAAGAAAAAAAAAGACCCAGATTTACATAGAGTTTTATTTACATAAACACAAAATTTCCATTAACAGTTTCGATTTTAGATAGACTTGGTGGACACACTGCCTCTAAAAGGTATTAAAAGAAGAAAAGAAGTACACAGGTAGTGTAGACTTTACTTGTTGTTAAAGCACTTTGTTTCAATCTTGTTTTCAGCACACTTTACCTGAAATTAAAATGGCTATCCCCACTATACAGGTTAGAACACTGAGGCTGGCCAAAGGGGCCAAGACTTGAATTCAGAGATCCTGGGCCATTACTTGGGCCACATTTTCCACTAAAACCTAGTAGCTGTCAAGAGTAGAGAGGCCTTGATCAAAAGCCAAACTAAAATCTTTCATTAACTCGGAGTGAACATGGAATCTGGCTGAAGCCGGAGTGAGGTCAAGGGTCATTCAAAGTCCATTTAATGCTTTTATAGAGAAAAGGGCCTAGATTCAACATCTGCCCCCATGAATCTGTATCACAACCAGGTTCTTGAAGACGATGCTCCAAAGACGGGATCCGGCTCAGTCCCATGCTCCTGCCCACTGAATGCTAGGGGCTTACGAAGGTAGAGCTGACCGATGATACAGCCCCCAAACGTGCATAACACGTCTCCCCAAATACCCATTGTGTTTCTTCCCAAATGAACACACGTGGGAGGAGTGTGTACCTTCCCGTGTGAAGGGCTGCAATGGAGGCTTCCATCTCCAGGTTTCTCATTTTAGCAAGGCAGATAACCTGTCTCACAGGGAAGGAACTGGATTTCCAGATGGACTAAGGAACCAGCTCATTTAAAGATCTGGCGCACAAATCTGGAAGTGATTCTGGAGCCATGCTTCCTACAAAGGAGGGGGAAACCACAGAGATGGGCATCAAGAGTAAGCCCACAAATATCGTGGAGGTCAGACCCAAAGCCCAAGTATGTGTGTGCACGAGTGTGTGTATGCACATGTGTGTAAACACGCACACTTGTTTATATATATTTTGGGGAATGTCAGTTTTCATAATCTCCTAGGTTTATGGTTTTAAATTGAAATACAACACGGACTTGGAACAGTGCACAAATTATAAACATACGGCTCAGTGACTTTTCTCAAAAATTCAATACATCCGGCACCCTGTGTGTGAGACAGAACAGTCCTAGCCCCTTCTGCTACGTTTACTTTCTAAGTCCTTACGTTTACTTTCTAAGGCAGCCTTTACGATTAGAATCAAAGTCAGATGTCCATCAGGAGCAACAGGGAAACAATGTTCAATTTTCTGACCCAAAGACCAGAAAGAGAGAGGTTTTAAGGCTCAAGAGGTGCATTTTAAAAAATTATCTTTATTTAGGTTTCTGATTCAGCACATGTATCAAAGACTAATCAACATAAAGGAAATAAGACATTAATTGGAAGTCTTACATCTCTCTAAACTCTGACCAAGAATGTCAAGATTGCCACTATTACCAGAATTCCAACCTAGTCAAGTTGTAAACAAGCTACCATGAACATACAGTGTGCACGGAGATGCAGAGGCAAAGACATGCTAGCACTTGGCTCTCCTCTCTTCCTTGTTGATGTCTTTCCACTTGACAGTCCACTTTTGCTTTCCATGCTGAGTTCCAAATAAAGTCCAACGGCTCAGGGTCGACCTGATCCAAACCTCTTCCAGAGGAATGCATTCTTTTAAACTGATGTGCCTGCAACTTTGTTTTTGCCAAGATGAAGTTCAGATCCAGATGTACGCTACAATCTCGATGACGGTGCAGACCAAGTCAAGAAGTGAAGTTGAGCAGTAACCCGAGTTAAGGCATGAATGCACACATACACGCACACACACGGCGCCCACGCGATCCTGAACATAGGCTTCCTCCCACTGCCTTTTGAGAGGCACCCGGGGCCTGGCCGTTAACCAGGATGCCAAGCATTCTGGAAAATGCTCCCCATAGTGTCATGCTAACAGCTGTGTGTGTGTGTTTAAGAAAAAGGTAGAAAAGAGAAAACAAGAAACCAGAAATGAAAAACCTAAAAACCCCTTAATCTCACAATGGCTCTCGAGCATGGAACTCGCGTAGCAGCGTCAATGGCTGGCTCTTTAATAAATTTGGAAATCAAAGGTTGTTTTTACTATGTATTTCTTTGGTAGTTACCACTACAAAGTTTTCCGTGTTGGTTACCTATAAGACAAGTACTAGACAGAAGATCAAGTTACATAGAAACGATTCTTCCGTACTGGTAAGATAAAAAGACTGCGCTCTCGAAGCACAAGTTACTACGCTTTTTCTTGCCTTATTGGGCTTCCTCTATAAGCAAGGCTTCGTGCAGGAGAAGTTCATGTCTACCTAACAGAGGGCGATACATAGTCTATTTTCCTACAATTGAACAGTTAACAAAAATTCACATTATCAATGATCTCTGGTCAAATCAGTTAGAAGCCAATTACCAAGGGACAGCAGCACTCGGTGCCAAAGCCACATTCTGGTCACACACTTGTCCCATGGTTGTGCTCAGTATCTCAGGAGCTCAGAATTTAAAACTCCTTTCAATTAACAAGGAGCAAGTTAAATTAAATCTTCCAATACTTCCACCATCTGCCAAATTTCTAGAATTCTGTCCAGAATGCCAGCACGCTTGATGAGAGAAAGCAGTTCAGAGCCCAGAGGTGTCAGGTATTAGAGAAGTTAATTTGGTTTCATATAAAAGGCATGGTAATCTGGCAACAGAGTACTTATCCTATTAGCAGCACAGTGGTAGCCAAGGGTCTCTGTCCACAAGACAGGGAAAGGAAGCTCCTAGAAGCTCCTGGTGCGCCCGCCTGCCCTCGGGCCAGGTCCTGACTGGACAGAGGCCTTCAGGGAATCACTCCAGGGTGCCCCTGGGCACGTGGGCCACAGGAATGGCAGGAACCATATTCAGCCCCCACCGAGAAGCACCCATGGTAAGTCAGCTTCCCATGGGTGAGGGGACTCCTGCCTCCACGGGCTGGGGGTCTGAATCTGATGGGTCCCTGGCACGTGTACTGCCCGTGCGTTGACGGATGGCACCCGGGGTCAGAAACCACTTGAGAAGAACCTGAAACAGCATAGATTCTAAAGAGTAGTGTTTGTTCTATCAATTCTGAAGGTCTGCAGGGAGAGGCAACTCATTTATGTTGACAAAGTGCTGTCTGAAGGAGCTGTGTTTTATTTTGAAATGAAATGACGAGTCTGGGGGAACCAGCACTCCATTTCTGCAAAGTCTGAAAGTCAAGAACCTGTTTCTAGAAGGCATTTGTCAGCAACGGTTTGCTCACGCCAAGTGCTTTTCCATTCACCATACGGCAATGTCGCGACTTTTGTGCTTTCGGGAGGTAACACTATTGGCAGGAAGCGAAGGGAAGCTTGTTACATTACGGACATTCTCTGCTGCGTGCGAGCCACTATCCGACAGCACTGAATTCTATCAGCTCGCGAAAGAGTCTTGTAAACATAGACCGTACTTCTCCTATGAAAAAAACCAAGAACTGTACCATGAAGGCAAAATGGGTTTGCCTCCTCTCAGAATTCCTCGGAATGGCAATGTACCAGGAGGGGCAACGGGCTGTTGGTGAGGTCCCTGGGTTTGCCAGGACCCCGTCTGATCAAATTAAAAACCTAAAGCCTCGATAACGAAAGGCCAAACTTCTTCCTCTTATTTGAGAACTGTACTATGATTATGTATATCACATACAGAGTATAAATAAAATTTAGATCGACCAATTGGGGAGTTAGGGGTGGAAGCAGGAAGAGGTGAAAAATCCTATTGTTGCTTTTACTCTCAAGTTCTTAAAATGCTAGTCAAACACTATTTTCCGACAAGACTTGCTTCATTCTGTAATTTTTAAATATGCATTCGAAGGCAAAGACGGAAGTTTCTATACTGTACACTATCAAATATCTACAATGTCACGGTTCCTTATTTTTAGGAGTGTGTTCAATAAAGAGCTAGCTATTAGAGATGGGTGTCACAAAACATGGACTCTTAAAAATTACTGATAAATTAATTTTCAGTTCTCTGATTATATCCAACAGATACACATTCTCATCATAAAATATACATTCTCTAGTAAGTTATTTTCGTCCACAGCATATATAAATATGCAAACACAGGTGGTAAAAATCACTCTACTACCAAAGTACAAAACAGTTACTGCTGAAAAGCAAAAATAAAGATGTTGCAAGTATTAAGAAAAGAGTGACTCACAGTGTTCCACTTCCAAGTGAAACCAAACGATTTATTTGTGCTAAATGAATGGAAATGATGTATTCAGAGTATACGTGTTTGTACACCGCACTTGCTGATACTGGGCAGCACGAGTGCTCGGGCTAAGGGGCTCCTTTCCGCTCACCTCTGGTCTTTTCTGCCAAGCAATAAAGGATTCTGTGGCCATTAGGCCATGATATTCCTATAATGTTCATTTCAAATAGTACTTTCTAATAGTATTTTGCACCTTTAAAATATTTGTTCAAACTCTATCTTGGGGGAACATGAAGAATGGAAAGGGGAAAACAGCTGTTTTTGTTACAATCACGTTGCTTTCTGCAGCAGATATCAAAGAGTGTGTTCTAATCCACCATCAAAACCACTGGTGGGCAGGACAACATTTACTGACTCGTGTTGGAGAGCCCATCTGGGTAGGTTAACACTAAAGATAAGGAAGGAATCACACCTTAATATACACTAATTAACCATCCCACGTGTATGTGGAAAAGGTACAGCCATGTGACCCATTACTTTTAGTCTGTTTCACAAGAGACATGGATGTTGACAGATACTGAAAGTAACCTATAAAAAGTGTATCTATAGAAAGCTCTATTAAAGAGTATATTGTCTTGGGCACTGACGCATCTAACTTTCCATTCTACACCGAAAGCTAGACTTTCAAAGGTCTGAATTGTAGTGCTGAATTATTGGTATGTTTGGTAAACACCATTATAATGGGGACGGGGAGGAGAGGTAACAGCTCAGTAATTTTCTGCAAATTCATGAAAAAAAAAATATAAAAAAGATATCCCTTTTTATTTTACAAACCTAAAAGCCAGGAAAATGAAGCTCTGGGGCCAAGCAAAAATTGCACACTGCTGCTGAATTACCAAATATTGAATAGCAAATGTTCCAGCCAGGGAATGGACGTACATGTAGATTCAAGTAAAACACTGATGGAAAAAGTCGTTTAGTGTTGTAGACCCACAACACTGGCTGCGCTTCCGACAAACACAACACAATTAATAGTGAAGCCTAGATAACCTCAGTGCAAATCAGTCAGATCCAAAAATGCCAGGGGAGGAAGCCTTTGGCGTTGAGTAGACGGCTCCGCTGTACGAGTCCCAACATGAGATGCGGACTAAGCACATGCATTAAGGCTGGGACGAGGGGTGCACTGGGTGTTGCGAAGGGGCGGGCTGCGAGGTGGCTGCTGAAGGGGCCGCGGGCTGCATGGGGGGCGGAGGTGGAGGCGGAGGGGGCTGGACCGGGGTCTGTGTGTTGGGAGACGGAGGCGGCGTGGGCCGCTTGAATTTGTCAGGACTGTTGCTTCTCCGTGGTGAAGGCCTCTGTAGATGGGACAGAAGAGCAGGTCAGTCTGGGTCCTGAAGGCTCATTTCTAACAGCCTGATTAGCCGGGGGCGGTGAGAAAGGGGAGCGACAGAGACAAGAAACTAGCGAGCTCCTTGTCTACCCCTATTGGTTTCTGAACTACTAATGAAAACTTCCACAAGGTGGAGTTTGCACCTACACCTTTGAAAAAGCCATGCAAGATTACCCCGAAACGTGCACTGACCAAACTAGTGGACTTGGCCCTTCGATGGGACAGTCCTAGAATTAAGAAATAGCTGTCTCATCCTCCACTCTAATCTTTTCTGTCCACTGTATGTCCCGAGGTTCCTTCCACCCCTCAGGTAAGTTGTCAACATCCTGAAAGATGTAGCTCAACCAAACGTGTCTTTTACATAAAATCCAGCAAACCAACAAAACCCAGAATCCGGATACCTCCTGCTTTCGTAGAGTAAGAGGCTTCTTTTAAGGATTCTGTTATCAGAAATACCCTCACTTCTCTCCTGTTCTCAAACCCCTGTTAGCTACATTTCTAACTGTTCTATTAGTCAACCTACTAACCAGCTCTAAAGAAAAAACTCCCGAGTGAAGTCTGAACCAAACACACTTAAGGCTCCTTCTAATTCCAGGAGAGAAAATTTGGAGTGAAACCAGAAATAAGGCTAGTTTCAAGAAGAATACTGAGGATCAGTGAACTGTGAAGATGCGGACAATAAATATTTTAGACATTGTGGCAACCAGCAATGATTCGTTATGGCAAAGAGCTGGCTGGGGTTTAATTAAGGCACTGGCCAGAGTTCAAATTACATTTCACAAAGCGTCATTTTTCACAGAAAGTGAAGCTGAAGTTTTGTCTCCTGGGAAGGATTTTAGTTTCCAAACCAGAATTTGGTATCAAATTGATGGAAGTCTCTATAGTTTGAAGGTGAACTAATGGTGGGAGGGAGAAGAAAGGGCAAGGTCTAAGGGCATCACCCCTGGTCTCTTGAGGAGGAGCTGCTGCCACCACCAACAGAGTCAAGTGTGGCTTCCTCCCCTCTGGATACTTACTGTGATGCCATGGGATGCTCCCATATGCTGCACATGAAGACCCGGGGAATTGTAGTAAGACATTCCGGCTCTAGTCAGTGAAGTTGGTGGCGTGAAACCAACTGTGTGACTTGCGTATGATAGACCTGAAATATAACCATGACAAGTATGATGTCAAACTCCATTCTCTGGTGTCTCCAACCATCCAGAAGACTTTAAAATGCAGAACTTCTCAGTCACCATCAAAAATGAACACTGATAAGACTGGTGAGCTCACCAAATGGTCTCCTGGATAAAAGGGGATGTAAAAGTCAAGTCCTAGAACAGAACAGAGAGCCCAGAAATAGGTCCACACATAAACAGTCAAGCAATCAAGTAATCAACAAAGGTGCCAAGAATACATAATGGGGAAAGGGCAGCCTCTTCAACAAATAGTACTGAGAAAAGTGGATATCCACATGCAAAAGAATGTGGACCCCTGTCTTATACCCTATACAGAATCAACTCAAATGGATTAAAGACTCTAAGACCTACAACTATAAGCTCTTAGAAGAAAACACAGAGGAAAAGTTTCATGACATTGGTCTTAGCAATGATTTTTCAGATGTGACACCAAATGCACAGTCACAAAAGCAGAAAATAGACAAATGGAACTCTGTCAAACTCAAAAGCTTCCATAGCAAGGGAAATAATCAACAAAAACATAACCCAGGGAATATGAAAAAATATTTACAAACCATACATCAGATAAGGGATTAGTATTCAAAATATATAAGGAACTCCTCCTACAGTTCAGTAACAAATAAATAACCCAATTAAAAAGTGGGCAAAGGACTTGAACAGACATCTCTCCAAAGACCTACAAATAGTCAACAGGAGTAAGAAAAGATGCTCAACATCATGCAACATAATCCAAAATAGACAAGATGTATAAACCACCTAAATTGAACTCAACACCCAAAAAACCCCCCAAAAAATCCAAAAAAGGGCAGAAGACATGAACAGACATTTTTCCAAAGAAGACATACAAATGGGGTGCCTGGTGGCTCAGTGGGTTAAAGCCTCTGCCTTCGGCTCAGGTCATGGTCCCAGGGTCCTGGGATCGAGGCCCGCATTGGGCTCTCTGCTCAGCAGGGAGCCTGCTTCCTCCTCTCTCTCTACTTGTGATCTGTCAAATAAATAAATAAAATCTTAAAAAAAAAAAAAAAAAGACATACAAATGGCCAGCAGACACATGAAAAAAAGCTCAACATCACTTGGAATCAGGGAGATAAAAATCAAAACTACAATGAGATACCACCCCACACTGGTCAGAATGGCTAAAACTGACAACTCAGGAAACAATGGACGTTGGCGAGAATATGGAGAAAGGAGAACCCTCTAACACTGTTCCTGGGAATGCAAACTGGGAATGTACTCTGGAAAACAGTATGGAGGTTCCTCAAGAAGTTAAAAATAGAGCTACATTACGACCCAGCAACCACACTACCAGGTATTTATCCAACAGATACAAACATGGTGATTTGAAGGCGCACAGGCACCCAAATGCTCATAACACCATTATCAACAGTAGTCCAACTATGGAAAGAGCCCAGATGTCCATCAACAAATGAACAGATAAAAAGATGTGGTACACACACATACACACAAATATTACTAAGCCATCAAAAAGAATGAAATCTTGCCTTTTGCAACAATATGGATGGAACTAGAGGTTATCATGCTAAGTGAAATAAATCAGTCCACAAAAGACAAATAACCATGATTTCATGCATATGTGGAATATGAGAAACAAAACAGATGAACATAGGGGAAGGGAAGGAAAAATAAGACAAAAACAGAGAGGGAGACAAACCATAAGAGACTCTAACTATAGGAAACAAATTGAGGGCTGCTGGAGAAGAGGTGAGTGGGGGGATGGGAAAACAGGGATTAAGGAGGGCACTTGAAGTAATGAGCACAGTTCTTTAAGCTGTTAAGGATACTTTTCTTTTGGCTTCCATGGCTGAAACATGCAGCCACCAAGCCTAGCTTTATGTGTCATGTCCCAGAATTTGTCTGTGTCCTCAACATCTAAAGTCAAGAATTTATTTCATTTCTTGATTTGACTATCAAATAGTGCTTTCTATTTGGCATGTTTCCATTTCAATTGTGGATGTGGGGTTCCCATTTACAAAATGAAGGTTTGGAGTAAAGTCTAAGTCCAACTAAGTGGCTGTGTTTGTTTTGACCACAAGCACTTCATTCAGCTGGAGGAGGAAAGAAGAGGTTTTATTAATACAGCTCTGATGAATACAACCCTAATTCTATTTCTTATGAAAGTGATGAAATTTAAGAGAAAGGGTATGAAAGTGGATTCTTATCCCAAGACAGAGAAGTTCATGATAATAAAAAAAGATGCAGCCTATTTTGTATTACAAGGTTAACTATTGGTATGTTAAACATGAATCAAGAATCTTCAAAGACTCCCTACTGTCTACCTAAACTGAAGAAAAAAAAAATTCTCTTCTCTATTATAAAGGCCTCTGCACTTGGCTCCATACTATCTCTTATACTGTAGGTCAGTGGTTCTCAACACACAGTATCAAAGACCTCACTCAGACCCAAATCAAATGATATCAGAATCTATGGGAGCAGGGCCTCAGGGCAGCCCGTGGTAAGAATCATAGTAACCCCTACCACTCTTGATCCTGACCTCTACTTCACTTCATACCATGCCCTTTGCCTGGGGTGGCTTCTCTGTACTTTCTCTCCTGTCAATCAGGACCTCAATCAGCCTCTGAAGAGGCAAACAGCCTAGACCCTAGAACCGAAGGCCATATTAGCTCTAGTTCTGCGACTTGGCACTGAGTGACAGTGGACTTCAGATCCATCAACTGTAAAATGAGATTACTGAAGTGGCCTCACAAGGTTGCTGTGGGGATGAAATGAGTAAATGTCACAAAATGCTCAGAGTGCCTGGCCAACGATGGCCTCATTAAGCTTTGGCTCATGAAGCTCCTTTACGGCCCATCTCAAAAGTGCTCTAAGCTGGTAGCTCTCTTTCTTCTTTGAATCTCTTCTTAAACTATTGAGATTTTTTTTCAATTACAACTTTTCATTTTGAAACTATTCACCACTCGCATGAAATTGCAAACACACTACAGGTTCCACCAAAGAGTTCTTCTAGAAGCACAGCACAGTGCCAACCCCAGGAGACTGACATAGGTCCCCAATTAGTGACGAAGGCACAGGCTCGAGGTGGACTTCATCAGTGTTTACTGCACTGTTCCCATGTACACAGCCCAAAGTAATCTGATCACATGAGTAGATTCGAGTAACTCTCATCACAACCAGCCGCAAAACTGCTCCATCACCACACACAAAAAAAGAACCCCTGAGTCAGTCCTTCCATGTTTCACACCTTCCCTCTCACCCTGTGCCCCAGCAATGACTGACCCATTCATTCCCTGTCACTATAATGTTGTCACTTTGAGAATGTTCTAGAAATGAAATAGTACAGTATATACCCCTCCATGGAGTGGATGTCCTGCAATTCGGCTATTTCATCTTCTGCATGAAATTATTACACTTGGCCTTGCAAAGTTTCTTAAAAAGAGTCTCTTGTATTTTCCCTCCCAGCCCCTTCCCCAGGCCCTATGGTTGATGATAAGCTCTTAGAGGCCAGACCGTATCTTAGTACTTTTTGTTTTCCCTTAAATTCTAATCATCATGCATCTGACCCTCCGGCCCACAAACACAATACAGGATGAGAATCCAAAAATACCTGGGTTGAAAATGCCAAACCCCAAACACCAGTCCACTAATAAATCAAGTAGTACGGTTCTTCGAAGCTATTGCTACAATAAATTTCTCTTGCTCTCATAGAGAAAGGCATTAACTAAAGTGAAAATGGTAAGACTTGTTCTGCCGTCCACAAGCTCAAGGCTGCAACTTTAAAAGATGGTTAATGAAAAGCAATTCATGACAAAAATTCATTACAAAAACCACTCAGCAAAATGAAGCAAGTACAAAAGTGTATAATCTGGTATGAAACCAACTATCTAAAGGAATATTGCAGGAGGAGCGGGTAGGAAAATGAGGCATCTGGAAACACTAAAATATTACCACTACCTTTGGATAGGAGGATTCTGGATGACTTTATTTCTGCTTCTACCCTTCTGACTGTCCCCAAATTCTCTTTATATCTTTTTGCCAGTGAAAAAAAAAAAAAAAAGCCAAACTAAAGACAGATACATTTTCTTCCTTTTAAGAGTTTTTATTTTAGATTATAATTTTAAGGTATTTTAGTTCTGTAAGTTACACCTAAGACCATGGTCTTTGCAAAACTTTAACTATAGACACAATTTCCTCTTTAAATCTCTCTAATCCAGCTCTGTCCCAATGACTCCATCAGCACCACTCTTGCAAGGTCAGCGGTGCTTCTGAGCTGCGGGCTGTGACAACCATTCTCCAGCCCTCATTGTACTTGACCCTGGAGAGCCTTGGACAAAGCTGACTCTCCTCTGGGTGAAAGGCGTTGTCTTAACTTCAATGAGATCATATTCCGATTTTCCTTCCACTTCTCGGTCTTCTTCGCTAGGTTTTCTTCCTGTACTTGACCTCCAAATATCGCAGTTGCTTCGGGATCAGACAGGAGAGCTTTGCTCTGCTCCCTTTATCTACTAGGACGAGGTGACGTCTCACCTATTTCTGTGGTTTTCTTCAAAAATAAACTTTTAATTTTAGAATAGTGTTAGGTTTACAGAAAAGTGGCAAAAGTAATAAAGAGGGTTCCTGTATGGCCCACGGTCAGATTCCCTTATTATTAACCTCTTATGAGAGTATAATACATTTGTCACAATTAATAAACCGAGGGGCGCCTGGGTGGCTCAGTTGGGTAAGCGTCTGCCTTCGGTTCAGGCCATGATCTGGGATCCTGGGATCGACTTCCCCATCAGGCTCCCTGCTCAGTGGGGAGCCTGCTTCTCCCTCTGCCTGTCACTCCCCCTGCTTGTGCTCTCTCTCTCTCTGACAAATAAATAAAATCGTAAAAAAAAAACCAAAACAACTAATAAACCAATACTGATACGTTATTATTAACTCAGGTCCAAACTTCTCTGGATTTCCTGAAGTCTTACCTAATGTCCCTGTTTGTTCCAGGATCCCATTTGGATGCCACTTACTATTTCATCATCAGGCCTCCTTAGGTACCTCTTGGCTGAGGCAGTTCCTCGTTTTTTTCTTGTTTCTAACAAGCTTACCACATTTGGGGTGTATCAGTCAGGTTTTCTGCAGACAGACTATCCCTCAATTGCGATCTGTCTGATGTTTCCACATGGTTAGGCAGGGTTATGGGTTTTTTGGAAGAAGTCCACAGAGGCGAAGTGCCATTTTCATCACACTGAGGGTACGTGCTACTGACAGGGCTCCCCATTGTTGACGTGGACCCTGATGGCCTGGCTGAGGCCATGTCTGTCAATTTCCTCCATTGTAAAGTTACTCTTTTAACCCTTTTCTACACTTCTTTTTGGAAGGAAAACCCCATGTCCTCCCACACTGACAGAATGAGGGGTTATTTCTACTTCCTTGAGAACAGAGTATCCACGTAAATTCTCTGGAATTCTTTCAAAGGAGAGATCTGTCTCTTCTCCCTTGTTTATTTATTCCATCATTTATTTATATTCATATGAACTCACGGATATTTATTTTTTGTTTGGGTTATAATCTAACATGACATCATTTCTTCTGTTGCTCAGATTGTTCCAGCTTTGGCCTTTGGGAGCTCTTTTTGGTTGGCACCTCTGTGCAAGACACCCCTGTGTCTCTCTCGCATCCCTTCATCTTGCTGTTTTCTTAGCACCGCCTTACCCTGCAACATCCCCAGATTTCCCAGGCTCATCCTGTCCCCTGTCCCCATTCTAGAAATGGACAGCCATTTCTAGAAACAGTCATTTCTCCAAAGAGCTCCCAGTTCTCTTCACTGGAGAAGGGAATTAGAAACCAAGATCTGGGCAGTGGGTACACTCGGATGTGGCTAGTGGGGTGCAGACCCTTTTTCGAACTTCATTTTTCCCCATCTGTGATTTAGGCACATCAAAATGGGCTAATTGGAAGTATTAGCATCAAAATATGCTAATAGGCTGCTTAGAACAACGGACAACCTGAAAGGTAACTGTTGACAAGTAACTCTCTCCCTGTGTGTAATCCACACACATAAGTCCACACATTATTAAGAGGAGGATCTTTGATAAGTTCTTGGAAATATGTCTTTCAATTCAACTGAAGGAGAACTTAAAGTATTTCAACAACTTGATGAAATGCAAGACTGCCAATGTTAATCAGAAACGGCAAGGGTGGGAACGAGCCAAAATGATTAAAATGGAAATGAAAACTATATATATAATATATATATACACACACAACATAATTCCACTAAGAAAGTGATTAGATTATTCTTAATACTGAGCACTTCTTCCAATAAAAACTGAATTGAAAAGCAAATTTGAAAATTCAGGTTTTGCTCGCTCATGTACTATGTATAGGACTATAAGGGACTAGATTAGGAGTAATTCTGCTGCCAAATAAGAGAAAAAATCCACTTTGATGATATTATAGAACTTAAAATAAGACACAAATGTTCTTCTCACTTAGGCTGGCTGAAAGAAAAAAAAAAAAAGAATCTAGGTGTTACTTATTTCTTAGTTTAAGGAAAAGCAAACAGGTTGTCTAACAGGCAAGTCCCCGATACAGGGACAGGGACAGTGAGAGTTCAAATTATGTACACAGAGTAAGATATTTTTGTAGAATACCTGTAACAATAGAAGTTAATATTCCCAATCAGGGTCTGACTCTTGCTTTTTCTCTATTCAAAGACCTCAACATTAGACTTAATGAATTGGAAAACAGATGTCTCTAAGGACCTCTTTAGGGTTAGAGAAATCAAACAGAAGGCTAAATAAATTATACTGAATATGAATCAGTACCATCATCTCCATATTGCTTCTTCCTAATGCATGCCTTCCTTTACGCCAATAATTCAGAAGGCCAAGAAGACCTTTATCACGGTAATGGACCCTGAGTGCTATTTGGGGGAAACTGAGGCAGCAGGGAAAAGGAGCTTTCAGAGAGATGTAAAGGCCACCAGAGAACAGGAGACACAGATGTAAGAGCATCCTTGGGGCAAGAACAAGGGGAGATCATGTACTGATCCAGGATATGAAGCCCTTTCAGTTTGCAAACAGCTCCTCTTTACCCTGCCTGAACTGGACAGAAGTTGCCCTGCTTTGTGCTGGGCTCTTTTGATTTCCCCTCTTAGAAAAAGAAAGAAAGGTCACAGCAGCATAGCACCGGGCAGGAGCCTAACCTCGATGTGTCTGTGGCAACGTGCACTGCCGCGGCATTTCCCCTTGGCCCCCCTGAAGGGTCTTCCACACTTTCCACAGTTCCAACAGCCCAAGTGAGAGGGTCCCCAACACGCAGCTGTTCTACTCTCCAAAACCACAGAGCCTTTCCTGCCGCCATCCCTCCAAGCAGGCACCTTGCTTTATTCTGCTGTGAAACTCTCACACACACACACACACACACACACACACACACTCACTCACTCTCTTTCGCCAGCTCTGTTTAAAATCTGTTTACCAGCAAGCACAAGAAACTCAGACTTGTCCCTTCAGTCACAAGATGCAATCCTTTGGCTCGCTACCTTTTCTTTTCCTCTCTCCACTCTGCTTGCCAGTCCCCGGCCCCTGCTTCCTCTTTCTTCCTTGCTGGATCATTTACTTGCCCTCCTGGCCTGAAAGCCCCATGCTGTGCGGGTTCTGAGCCAGAGACCCTGAGGGGGAGGGAGCTTTCAGGGTCAGATGAAGACAAGCACGCCTTTGAAGGAAAGGCTTGAAGACCAAAGCCAGATGCAGGAGCAAAGCCAAAAGCGAGGCCAGCTCCTTCTTGCCGGGCCTGCCTACTAGGCCCCAGTCCTGCTCACCAGTCACCAGGAATGTCAGGGGACAGCTTGTGCTGCAAAGAACCCAAGCTTGGGAAGCAAGAACCGGTCCACCTTGCCACCTCCTGAACCTGTGACCAGAGTCACTGAACTTCTGAATCACTGCTTCCTCAGTGGGGAAGATGATGCCTACGTTAATATTCTGACAGCAAAAATGAAAAGATGTATGTAAAACATAATAACAGAACCCAAAGCAGGTGGGTTACGATCCATCTTAGACATCTGTCCAAGGCTTTGTCAATCCACTGGAACTTAAAATCAGTCAAAGACAGTCTTTTTAAAAAGAATCTTTGGAGTTAAATTCCTTTTCAATAACAACAAAAAATTAAAAAACACCAGCTGGCACTGTAACATTTATGCCTAAAAATTTCAGGCTAAAACTCAGGCTTGATGGTGATTTGTTTTTGATGTTTCTCAAAAACACATGACTGTTCTTCCTCTGCTTACAAGATTTTTATATGCTAAAAGGGAACATATTTGGGGAGGCTTATTAAATGTACCAGAGATCACTCAGAGGGAAACTGAGACTGTGTACTCACCGGGTGATATGGGCCTACTTGAACTCGGAGACGGTGTGTAAGGGATCGGGCTGGACACAGTGCGAGGTCTTAATCCTTGGGCAGACATCTCGTTAAAATACCTAAAAGGAAAGGGGGGAAGTATCAGAATTGTGTGCATTTCAATAGTTCCTAAGGGAGCTCCTATGAGATAATGTTCGGGGTTCAAATCTTGAGGTCAAACCCCAGGGTATTTGGAGAGTGATACTATAAGCTAGGAGACAAGTATAAAGCAGACTCCGGGGTCACAAAGCTCCACTGCTTGGCAAGCCCCTCTCCCCAGGGGTACAGGTTAGGGAAATCTGAAATGTCCTAGCTCCAGGGGGAGGCCTCCTAACAGAACTGTGTCATATGACAGAGAGGGCTGGGCTTTTATCACACGACAGCTATGTAGAAATCTACCTCCACTGTGCCGAAGATTAGACACATCCATGTTTTGATGGCTATATTTAAATTGTTATTTGAGCCACAAACCCACTCAAGCCCTCTAAGATTTATGTCATCAAATTAAAGTGTACAGGTAATGGGAAAAAATAAATTAAAGAATTAAAAACAAATCCCAAAAATTAAAAATTAAAATTAAAAATTAAAGCTTAAAGGTCACGGTATTCCCGCGAACTGGAAGTCAATCATTTATGAGGTAAGCCTTGCTTAGCGAACAGCCACACACGAGAACAAAGACCCAGCACTGCACACCTACGGGAGTCGCACTTGGCCACGCCATGCTGGCTCTGACTTCTTCCTGGACGTGGAAGTCACACCAGACCTGAGGAGCCTCAGACCTGATGGTCAGGAATGTCAGCCTTCACTCTATGAACGAGCACAGAACGCTGACAAGCAGAAATCTCTGCTCGAGAGACTTCCCAATCAGCTACCCTCCACAGGCCTTGCAGCCAAAGGAAGCGCCGCGCGTGCAGGCCACTCTGTCCCGGGGAAGATCACAGCCCCAAAGGTCCTCCGGCAGTTCGCAAGAAGAACGTTACCACGGCTACTTCCATGCTGTGTCGTTTGGCTCACAGAAAACCAGGTTCCCCAACCTGCCACAAAGCTGTCAGCCAGACAGCCACCTGCAACCTCTGCCTGCCCTCTTGAACAGCCCAGCACAGCAGCCCCAGGTACTGACTCTACCCACGTCCCGGAGGGAGCGAAGACCACCTCTTGCTCTTTAAGAAATAAACACATTTTAGACAACTTAAGTTTCCAACTATTTTCTTTCTCCCCAAGGTGACATCATCATTCCTAACAGGGAGAGGAGAAATCTCAGTTGGGCAGCAGTACTCTAGCTGGGATAATGTGACCTATGAAAGATAAGGCCAATCTTCTGGAGTCGATACCAGTTCTGGAAAATATCTATATATCTATCTATCTGGAAGCCTGAAGTAGCTCCAGTATTTTCACCATGGTCGGAAGATACTGTCCCTCAGAGTGCGTCCTTCAAATCCAAGTACAGGGCACTGTGTACTGTTAATAACTGGTCCACTCCGTGTCTTAAGGTGGTTAATAAAATAGTTATCTGGTATTCAAGCTTATGTTTTTAGTCAAATGGCTGTCAGAGGCCAAGGATTACAGAGAGAAGGGAACACTGTCAGAAATCAGTGAAATTCAAGGTCAGAATAACAGTTTTATGATATAAACTTTTGAGAAAGAATCATCTTTCCAAATGAGGACGCACACAGATATTTTAAATATAACCCATTATTGTTTTTATAAGTTTTTTATTATAAAAATATAGACCTTCATCATAGAAAATCTCAGGTTTTTCTTAAAATGATAATACCACTATCTAAAGCAAGTTGATCAAAAGCTTTGTTAATAACTCTCTGGAGCGATCCATGGAAAAAGAAAGGAAGTGATTTTGATGTGTTTTGGTGTCGATAGTCAAGATGATTCATCATGGTCATCTGCAGACTATACTCTCAGACAGTGACTGCCCAGTCCTGTTGGAGGGAATGCTCAAGGAGGCTCGGTCTCACCCCTCACTCTGACACCAACACATAAGGCTAAGGCAACCCTGATCCACAACACAGAATTTCCCTGCAGAAATGATCTGGTTCAGAGAAAGCCCAATTTCCCAAATGCTGGGTTTCTCTGATGATTTAATAATTTTTGTTTTTTCAAGTTGGATTTGCTGCTGATTCTAACAATTGCCTCACTCCCAAGTACGAGGGGTCTGTGGGAGTTGGGGGTAGGGGGGGAAAGACTGTGGATGAGACAAATGCTGGGGCCATTTCCTCTAGTCAACCACAGATGACCCTCTTACTTCAGCCCATTTCTCGGTGGGACAATGAGAGGGCTTGGCACAGACTCTTGAGCAGAGACAGGGGACACACTGGTTTTAGTTTTTTAAAGTAGCTCCAACAAGGCCCAGAAGTTTCCAAGTTGTTAAGGCAAGGCCTGTGCCTTTCAGCAACCCCCACCCGCCTCCTGCTGATCCTTCAACCCAAGCACGGTGCGTTACCTCAGGCCGCAGAAGCCTGCTCCTCCACATCGGGGCATAAGATGCTCCCATCCATTAAACAGACACAGGAGGAGACAAACCCAGCAACTAGGAAACTCGGTCTCTCTATACGTAACCTCCCATTTCTCTCTCGACCATGTAATTTTGGAAAGGCAGCTTCTCGGTCTTTTTGTGTTTCAGGAAAACGGTCCCCTCCTCCCTTTCCCAGGCTCAGCCCCGGCTTTCACGCGCCCCAGTGTCCGTCACCACCACGCAGAAGCGTGGGGGCCACCTCCTTCCACATCTGACCGGATGTGAAGGGTAAACCCCTGGAGCCTGGTTTGGTCTGGCTTCCTCACGAGGCCCGTAAGACGCGCGCGCACCTTTCGTCATCCATTTCCAGGCTGGACTCGCTCTCGGAGAGCTGCCGGCACAGGGCTTCCCTCCGCTCCATCTCCCGCTGCAGCTTCCTCTGCAGCCGCAGATTCTCCTCCCGCATGTGGCGCTCCTCCTCCAGGTACTGGGCCATTTTCTCAGAATCTGAAAGGCCAGAATTCTCCATTCAGCCGTGTTCCGTGCGGTCACACTCACACCTGAGCTAAGAACACTGCGGTCAGGCTCCCGTGCCGCAAAGAATCGTGGGCCCTCTCCCACGTGCGAGGGGATCTGGACTTAAAGGCTACCCCACGCACCCCAGGTCCCCAACTAGCTGCATGTACAAGAAATGTACGAAGTGCCATGGCACTGGGAGGTGAGGTATCTTCACGCCCACTTGGGTGGCTTCTACAGTGAAGCGTGGGGAAGAGGAAATGGTGGAGTGGCAGCGCCCTGAGCCGTCCCCGCTGCTGGAGCCCACACAGGCGGGACCCAGCAAGGGGGCCCGACTCAGCCCTGGGCTCCCCTCAGGGAGGCACCAGCTCTGCTGCTCCTCAGCTCCAGACACAGAGGGAGCCCGTCACACCCGCCAGCACGCCGGCAAAGACCGCTGCGCTAGAACCCACTTGGTAAGTCAGAATTCTGTTTATGAAAATAGGAACAGACGCAGTAAACAACTCTAGATGAGTATGTCAGGTCGAACTTCTGGTGTATCTGTGAGACTATTTTCCTGACCCAGGCCCAGCCTCTCTGAGCTTCCTCAGGCACCGCCCTGTGTGATAAGGACACAGCCACAATACTGGTTTCCTAGCCCAGAGCTGATTAGTCCCAGCATGAGACACTGGAAGCGGCGGAGCCCCTTGGATTCACTCTACAGGAATCTGAAATGTGGGGCTGCCATCTTCATGAGGTTCTAGAATCTCCTTGTGCCAAGTTCCCTGGAGCCTTCACCAGCCCTGCCCTCCTGAGGGGACTCTGTGCCGGACTGTGGGGTACCTGCCAGCACCATTCCAGTGAATGGTAAAACCTGTCCCCACCTCTGACAGATATGTGAAGTCACCAAAATAATATCGATATACAATTCAGTATCAGCCCATCTTCTTGCTTCCTTCCTTTTCCCTCCTCTCAGCCAATGAACTTGGGAAAAGTAAACTCTCCATCTACTTCGCTTTTCTGAAAAATAGCTACGAACTCAAGAGCGGTCACAATCATGTTTAAGAGAGAGTCCCACGGGTTACTGCTCCGTATTATTAGCCCACTCCAAATTCTTTCAAGAAGGAAGGAGGAGTGAGAGTTCCACACTAATCATTTCTTTCCCACAAAGTGACCCTACTTCAACTCCTAAGTCTATCCAATTAGTTTCAGTTTTTAGCACCTCTATGAAGGTCTGGTGTTTTAGCAAAATAATGACTTTTGATGGTAAGAATTCCGTGATTTCCAAGACAGCATCAATATAGAAACTATAAAACCTCTTGAATATCCTTACTTTAGAAATTCAAATAAAAATACCAAAAACACTAAGTTATTAAACACTATTATGTGCACTAAACACTAAATCCCTCAGTTGTTTTCAATATAACCAGAAACCCTGCTGTCTAATCCAGATGCAAAAATCTCTTTAATTGAAGGCAAGCTGGGAAAATATTTACAAAGTACACGTTTAATATAAACGATTTAAATTATTTCATCCCAAATATGCAAGCCGGAAGAATTTTTCACTAGCTCTACAGGAAGCACTAGATTGGGCCCTTGGAGTATTATTGTTTCTAGAACAAGAGGGGCGGCTGTTGGAGCAAGCTGCCTTTCTTTTCCATAAATAGGAAAGCTTCAGAGAACTGAGGATTTATGGGGCTTCAAGAATAATCGTTTAAGAGCAAACACTGTCTTTGTCTCTCAGATGCAACCCTTCAGCATCCGGGGATATCAGCAGGGGAATCCTTAAGCAATAATCTATACACAAGAACATCAGTCAGCAGGAGTGATGGCTGGGGGACTTTCCTGGCATCTGGGCAATTAACCCAGAAGCCAGAGGACAGAGAAGGCACCAGGCCCATCACCTCTGGGTGGCACAGACCAGCCTCAGCTGCTGACACCATGGTATGCCTTGGGTGCCCTCTGCTGGCACATCACCACACCTGACTTCAAGACTGGATTTACTCCATTGTCACCTTCTCTCACACAGAGCTCCCTAAGACTTAGGGGCCACAGCTGATGCTTCCACTATCTGTAGCCATCTTGGAACACTCAGTCAAAGACGACATCAACAGAGGGTAACTTCACAGACTCCCAACAGCTGGGTCTCCTATGATCCAAAGGTGGCCTGTACATTTTGTATCCCCTTTCAAGTTTACGGCTAGAAAATGCTGGTGCCCAGGCTGCACCACAAACGGATCAGAACCCTGTGGGTGAAGCCTCTCCACCGCTGTACTGAACAGTCCCCAAGGGATTCTTATGTTCACCCCGAGCTGAGACCCACAGGGAGACAAGTTCAAGTTCCGATACAGCAGACCTGGAGGGTGAAGAGCCAAGAACCCAGCGTAGCCCGGGGAGGCAGGCTATCTGACCTCGGTCACTAACTCATGCTCTAAACCAATCCAGACCAGCTGTGAGCCAGCCACGTGCCATGTGTCCCTCCTTCCATTCAGCATTCTCTGCCCTCACAAAACCAAAATGGCACTTATGGATGCCTCTGTCCGCATCGGCAGGCTCTTCAAATACCAGATATTGCCACAGGAACAAAGTAAAGGGAGTGAAAAATTCTTCCTCAATTTCTTCTAAAGGTTTTGCCTGGGGCACAAGAAAGAAAAAGGTAAGCCGGTGGCACAAAGACCTCTGTCTGTCCGGCAAACCAAAACTCAAAAAATATCCTAACATATCTATTATTTGAGAACTCGCTGATTGGTTTCCATAAAATGTATTTCATGGTTCCCAACTCAAGGGTACACATCAGAATTCCTTGTACTAAAAAAAGATGGAGGGCTGGTTTCTACTAGCATGAGCCCAGAAACTATGAGGTTAGACAGAATAATGGACCCCCAAAGATGTCCACATCCTAATTCCTGAGGCCCGTGACGATGTTACTTTAGGCGGCAAAAGGGACTTTGCAGATATGATTAAGTTAAGGATCCTGAGATGGGAACTTATCCTGGATTATCTGGCTGGACAAATGTCAGGCCAGCGTTTCGTATGAAGGAGGCGGGGGTCAGAGTGAAAAGGTACACCCATGGGTGCAGGCAGGAATGCTGCTCAGGCAGGGAAGGGGCTATGAGCCAAAACTCGCAGGCAGCCTCGGAATGCTGGAAAAAGCAAGGAAACACAGTCTCCCTTAGGGCCTTTTACAAGAAACCAGACCTGCTGACACCTTGATTTTAGGCCACCGAGACCTATTCTGGACTGCAGACCTTCAGAATTGCCTTAAGCAACTAAGGTTGTGATCATTTACTATGGCAACAAGAGCAAATGAACACCATTTCTTACAGTTCCAAGGATGATCCTGAGTCACCAACCCACCAGATGCACTACCAGACTAGAACTTGCAATGAACTTTAGGAAACAGAAAGGTAACTATCACTGAAAATTTAAATGCATAGTCACTGGACTCTGTAATTCCACTTCTAGAGTTTATCCTGAAGTGTTCTTGCTCGGGTGTCAAATATGGGGACACAGATGTTCACTGTGGTTGCATGACAACCAGAATGGGCCCGTTGACACAGGACATATAGCATCCATGGGCGATGCCTTCTAAGACTCCCAGTGGGTCCCCAAAACTAAGGATGACCCCGAACCCTGAATATACTATGTATTTTCCTAAATATATACACTATGACAAAGTTTAATTTTTTTTAAATCAGGCACAGGAAGAGGTTAACAAAGTAATAATAAACTAGGACAATTTTAACAATACAGGATACTATATGTTATATGAAGTGGTCCCAGTCTCTCTTTTGGGGGACCCAGGGCAGGCCACTCCACGATGGGCCACTTTGGCAGGAACAGTATTTTGCGGTAAAGCAATCCACACCCATCAGATTCAAGAAAAGCTCTTTATTCCCCCCCAACTGCCTGCCTTTATCAGGAAGAGAATTACCGCTACAGATTCTTCATCTACAAAACTTATCCACATAATAGGGCAACCTTTGTATTCTAAGCATCTCCTCTCACCTGCCTGCTAAGGGTCTCCCTTTGTACTGTCAGCACACCACCCCTCTCTTTAGCTCAGGTTAGCTTCCCGATGCCTGACTGTCCTTGGAATTTCCACATCTGTGTGGAGTCCCCGTACATATGCTATTAGATTTGATTTTCTCCTGTTAATCTGTCTCATTTCAATTTGATTCGTAGTCCAGCTACAAGAACCTTGAAGGGCAGAGAAAGGTCTTCCTCCCCAACACTCTCAAAATATCCTACCGGGCTGTACTTGCCCTCCTTGTGATGATGTAACATGATATGATGCCTGTGTGAGGAGATGAAGTGAGGGGAACGACACAGGCATTGTGACATATCACCAGGCTTCTACTGCTCTTCTGAGGGTAAGGTAGGAGGGTCACCTGCCTCCCGACTGGGCTGACACTATGGAAAGTGAAGCTGTGTGGTAAGAAGGCACTGGCATATCCCCAGAACCAAATATGAACCAGCCTTTTAGAAAGGGAATCAGAGAGCTCTCTACATGTATTGGCAAGGAAAAACTTGCAAGATACAGTAAGTAAAAATAGATAAATACAAAAGAGTGTGCTCGCTATGCTGCTTTTAGTATAAAGTAAGTTTATCCAGACACATACAGGTATCTGGAAAAGATAAAAAAGTGTCTAACCACGAGACATAGGCGGCTGGGGACAGGGGCGAGGGGGAGAGCCCCTCCTCCCCTGTGCACCCAGCTTGGCACTGTCTGTTCAAATGCCTCTGAGCAGCCTGCACACGGAAATGGGGAAGACCCAAGCAAATGCACGGTGACCTCATCAAGTGTTCATAAATCTAGTTCCCCTGATTTCCAACTCAACAACTGGACATTTTCCCAAACAATAAGAATACGTTTTTAAAGCATTTATTCTTCAAGTGCGACAAATGTTAGCTGACCCTAAAATTTAGTAGTAAGAATGATACACGGTCTGGTCTCTGCCTTTGTTCGCCCAAAGTACATTTGTGAACACAGGAGAAGCATAAAAATAGTACCCCGATTCTGGACCCTCCCACAATTATTTGATTTTCTAGAAGTACTCGAAACTATCTGCCTGTCCTACTGCAACATTTTCAAAAATAATCCATTCCAGGATAGAAGGGTTTCTATACGCATGTATTGGTAACGGACTACAGGATGGATCTGACCTATGCAAATCCAACGATCAATACTGGTAAAAGCCTGTGCTTGGTAACTGGGTTGCCTGTGCACACAGAAGACCAGGGAGAGAAACCAGGGGCTACGTACGCTGTAACTGAGCGGCTCTCAGCTGCTTCTTCAGCCTTTCCACTTCATTCTTTAAAAACCTGATGTGGCGCATCATGTTTTCTGGAGAGTCTATCTCCATGGAGATGTCTCTAGGCGACGGGGGAGCAGAGACCGGCTGGTCTAATTTCTCCTGCAGGATTCTTCCGTGAAAAGAAAAATTCCAACAATGAAAAACAGTTTCCCTTAAAAGACAAAACATACTAGCTGGAGGGTTTGTTTTCACGGCAAGCTCCTGTGAGTCACCAGAATTCACAGGGTTGACAGACTCAGGCTCTGCCCATTTTATACCCACTTTGGGTCTCCCTTACCTAGTATCCAGGTCAAGGTGAAAGGGCAGAGCTGAAGGATCCACCGTCCTTTTTCTTTTAAATGATCGCTGATAATTAAGCGTTAGTGAGAAAGTCATCAGCATTTGCTTCTGATTATTATACCTGGCATACAGTAGGCACTCAGAATTATCTGCTGACTCAATGCATCACATCGGCTTGTGGGAACAGAGATACTAAAGAAATTTCACTCTCAACACTTTCTGGTAAATGCTTCTGAACTCCGTACTAGGGTCCCATTGGAAGGAGACACCACACAGACTCCACTTCAAAAATTCCCTCCTAAAAAACCAGTCCTAAGACTGGGGCAAACTGGGCTGACGGCCCTTTGCTTCTATTCAGAGCACAGGTGAAAAGATAAAGAACAAAACCAAGCCACAATCCTTGGGTTAATAATTGGTGGTCCCACCTTCTCTAGCAATTATCACTAGTTTGAGGCACAAGGAATGTCAATATTCAACAGCTTTTCACTGACCAAATGATACATCATATTGTTTAACACAATACTTTGACACTTACACATATAAAACCTCCAACTGTGTTCTGTAAAGGAAGAGAGATTGGCAATGGACCTCTAGGCTCCCCTTTCATAAGCTGCTAGGCTCTTGGTTTGGTTTGGCTTTTAACTTTTACCTTTAAGTTTGCCCAACTGCAAATTGTGAATTACCTTCAGGCCTGCCCTTGTTGAGAAAACTGGCATGTTAAACATTATAATGGTCCTGCATTTACTGTATTAAATAACCTTTCATAATTCAATTTATTAGCACCGCTACAATAATGCAAAACACACCCAATTCAACATCAGCTTGAGTATTTCCCTAGAGATACAGCTCTAATTTTCACTTCTCTTAAAGCCTGTGATAGGACTGTATTTTGCAAATTTAGAGATGAACTCAAAATAACTTACGGATGTTCATCCAAACCAAATACTTATGGCAAAAGGACTCTGGTTAGCAAACAAAAGATCCTAGTGAAGCAGATTAAGGAACATTTTTAAAACTCCCTTTCTACACCCCCACACACATCCCACATACAGAACACCCTGCCATTCTTCAAGTCCTGCTCCATCACCCAACGGATGTAGCACTTAAAAATCAGGACACGAAGGGGTTCAAGAAACGTCTGCTGTTGAATGATATGTAACACCCATGTACACACATTTAGCACAACGATTCCTAACCTTAACTATGTACAAGTATTTACAATAAGTCTTCACGCCAATAGATAATAATTTTCCTATTAAAATCTCAGCCTTCCTGTTGAAATACATTCTAGAGATGTGTAATAATTAGCCGTACACCATACACAACCGAAGCACTTGAAAAAAACGGGGGAAGCCAGTTCAACAAGGTAAGATGCTGAAATTGCAACGATCTTTCCTGAACAATTTAAGGGGAACTAATAGCACCTTGACTAATGTCTTCATAGACTTTGTCCCAAATGAAAGGAAATTTTACTGGGACCAGAAGAGAGAAATAGAAAGATGCAACATGAGAAGAGTTCAGGAGGCTTTCAACTTTTTTTTGGTTTGGCAAGTTAAAACAATGTGCATCACCCAAGGAATTAAAACTCCCCTTTCTCTCCATCAACCACACCCAGAGCAGCGCTCTCGCCGCGCACATGCCCCACACTGAACAGCAAGACTAAACAAACCGCTTTTCAGCTTCAAGTTTGTCCATCCTTTTCCAGAGACGATTAACTAGCGCTTCTTGTTCTTGTTCCAAAGTATTTTCAAGGTCAATCTTCTCTCGTCTCAACTAAAGGAAGGAAAAAAGTTTTACTGAGAATAGTAAGCCATTTAAACTTTTGTTAATGAGATTTTTTTTTTTTTTATTGGACCATGAGGACCCCCTTACTTGGAGAAAACTGCAAAGAAATGGCCAATTTCCTGGCACAGTCACATTAAGTGCATCTAGTTCTTAACCTTTAGTTGAGAGAACCGAGACAGGTTCATTCTCTGCTGTGAAAGCTTCCCTTGCTGTCTGGTACACGAGTCACACCGCTTGTTTCAGCATTCACTCAAGGCACAGGGAAAGTCTTCCTCAGAGAGGGTTGAGAGAGCTCAGCTTACTACTCTTACCAGGACTTCTCCGAGTTTGTCTCCCGACCCCAGTGCTGCATGTAGTTCAGGGCTAAACCAGAAAGGTTTTATTACCATTTATATAAAGAGCTCAACACCTGAAGACAATTCTTTATACTGATTAACGGCTGCACAATGCCAGTTACCTCTGAGGAGGTAAGGAAGAGAGGTCTGATTTGGGAGAAAGTATACAGCGGCAAGGAAGTCCCAAAATGCATTCTACTTCATGAAAAGAGCACACGTGGGAAAATTCATTTACTCCATCGATAATGGGCAATATGAAAATACTATGAACGATGCCAGTCACTGGCTAATAAGGGTGTATCAGGGAATCAAAGTCAGAATTTTCAGCCTTCATGACAGTTATATTTTAGTGGGTCAAGAGAGTAAATGAAATAGATTTTGTACTTTGGTGGAGAGTGAAAGAGCTATGAAGAAAGAGGGCTGGCAAGAAGGATAAAAAGTGCAACGATCCATTTCACAGCTATGTGCAGAGGGAATGTGTTATATCATTCTTTGTATTTCTCTACCTGTTTGAGATATTAAATAATTTTAACAATTTTTTTTTTTTTTAAAGGAAAGAAAGGTTATGGTACTGCCCCTATACTGTCTCTTAGATAGCAACTCACCTTTTCAATCACAGAGTCAACAAATTATTTTTGATCGCACAGCTACAAAGATTGCCTTAGCAGGTCACAGAGGCAAGCTCCTCACTGATCAAAGATCCCTGTACAGGGCCATCTGGGTGGCTCAGTCAGTTAAGCGGCCATCTCTTGATTTCCACTCAGGTCCTGATCTCAGGGTCCTTGGATCAAGCCCTGCATTGAGCTCCCTGCTTGGCAGGGAGTCTACTTGTCTCCCTCTCTATCTGCCACACCCCCTGCTTTCTTCTTCTCTAGGATAAATAAATCAATCTTAAAAAGAAAAAGAAATCCCTGCATATACAGTAAGATGAGACCAGCACTATGTATAAACTGCAGTCTTTTAAAGCAACCAAAGCAGACCTTATTATCAGTCAATAAGCCAAGGTCACATCGCATGGTCAAGTGAAAACACAGCCTGGAAACGTGTGCGCCAGCAGGTGGAGGGGCGGGGCAGGGGGAGAGGAACAAGTGGATGCCACACTGACTGCAGAGCCCAACTTGGGGCTCAAGTTGGACACTCAACGGAGCCACATAGGCACTCCGAACCCAAGTCCCTTCTGACTGCTTATTCTGCAAGCGCCCAGCCCAATGGGTATCACCGACTTGTGTAATATTCATTTAAAAGCCTGCTTTATAATTAAATCAGTCCAATGGACTGCCAAATTCTTTTCTTCTCTTCAGTAGCTCTCCTTCCCGTTGCAAGTTAATTAACGTCAGACCAGGAGTTCTTATTACGTTCCCAAAATAAGTACAGAAACTTCAGTAGATTAAATTAAGTGCATAAAAGTCTAGCTGGTTCATGTGACTTCACAGCCCCTCCTAGCTCCATCTTCTCACTGGGCAGATACTAACCTATCACCAAAAAAGCCAAAGGTGGGGGGTGGCTGAGAGATGGCTCCCAGCACCACCACACTTCTTTCTCCCTGTAGCGTTTTCCCATTTAAAGAGAACTGGGACACTGGGGTGGGGGTAGAAATGGTTGGCCAAAAACCTGGTGAGAACTTCAGCCTCATCGCTGTGCTCAACTACAGAATTTGGAACGTCTTAATGAATTTTTTTCAATCTACATTGAAAAGTTTTACTCTAACCACATTATCATGGGAATCATGTATCACATGCACAATTTTTTCCCCAAGGATTTACATTTTTTAATATTTTTAAAAGATTTTATTTATTTATTTGACAGAGAGAGAGATCCCAAGTAGGCAGAGAGGCAAGCAGAGGTTTGGGGGTGGGGGGGGGAGCAGACCCCCTGCTGAACAGAGAGCCCGATGAGGGGCTCGATCCCAGTACCCTGAGACCATGATCAGAGCCGAAGGCAGAGGCTTAACCCATTGAGTCACCCAGGTGCCTCTCAAAGTTTTATTTGAGAGTGTGTGTGAGTTGGGGGAAGGAGATGGTTTGCACAGAGGCAGAGGGGGAGAGAGAGACAGAATCCTCAAGCAGACTCCCAACTGAGTGCAGAGCCCGTTGCAGGGCTCAATCCCAGGACCCTGACATCATGACCTGAGCCAAAATCAAAAGCTGGACATTTAAGTGACTGACCCACCCAGATGTCCCACTTCTATTGGAGAATATATTCTGAACCCCAAACCTCTGGCTTAAAAAACAAATTTTGAAGGCAGCCCCTTACAACTAATCCAAGATAATAAAAGAGAGGGAAAAGCCCATGAAATAAGGGCTACCATAAAAACAGAACAAAGACACAAAGTTTGTTATTACAACACACAGTAGAGGGCACTTAGATGGTGATGATGTAAGAACAGGACCCAATGTTTAAAAAAGAAATCAGAGTCCTCTAACACCCACATTAACCAAACTCTAAGTTGGCTAGATTTTTTTTTTCCCAAGAGAAAGAGATAAATTCCAAGAAAACAAGTAGGTGCTGGGGATTAACATGACAATCCCCCAAAACCTTCCAGGTCAGGTAGTATCAGAAGGCTATCCATAGTTTCGCCCAATCTCCTATCAATTTGTTATGTAACACTATTAGATTTCAAAGTGGTTAACCTGGAGATACAGAATACCTGGGAAAGTAAAAGCACCGTATTTTAAAAATGACTAAATTACAGACAGAAAAATGAACGTTTTCGCAATGGCTGAATGAATGTGTCCCCCCAAAATTCCTATGTTGAAGCCCTAACCTCCGGTGTGATGCTACACAGAGGTGGGGCCTTTGGGAGGTACTTGGGCTTAGCTGATGTCATGAGCTTGGGGGCCCCGATGGTGATGGGACTTGAGTCCCTTCTAAGAGTCACGAGAGACCTTGCAGCTTGCTCTCCCCACATGAGGACACAAGGAGAAGTTGGCAGTCTGCAACCTGGAAGACAGTCCTCATCAGAACTCCACGACGCCAGCGCGCGCGGGGATTTTAGAATTCCAACCTCCAGAGCCATGAGAAATGGGAAATAAATTTCTGTTGTTTATTAGCCAGTCTTTGTTGTTGCAGAAGCCCCAATGGAAGAAGTTAATTTTTGTTTTTACTACAAAAGTAGAGCCAATAAAAGATCTTAACCTCCTTCCAGCCTACTTTGCGAATATATTAAGGTTTTCCATATCCACGGGAAAGAACAGGATTCATGGAGGGGGGCGGGGGGTGTCTGAAAACAGATCATGAGCAACTGACATGAAAAGAGCTGAGTACAAGGCACCATGGTCCTTGCTCCATGGCAAAGCCTTACTCACCAATTAAAGTGGCAGACACAGAGCTGGTCAAAAGCAGATGCTTCTGCCGGTGTCTGTCCAGGCAGTCAGTGGAATTTTTCTCAACCCTAACAACTCCCCTCCTAGGCTGGAAGACATCTGACCTCTGCCTTCGAAAACAAGGTTTTTTTTTGTTGTTTTTTTTTTTGTTTTTTTTTTTTAAAGAAATTCAACAGCCAATTTGTATCACAGATGAGTTAAGACAGGTGTTCACAGGCCACAGAAGCCCTGAGGTATCTGATTAACCAAGCTGCAGCTGGTTTCAAAATTAAACCCAAGTTCTAGGTCATCACCGCTGCCCGCGAAATACTAAACACAGAAGGAGCCGGCAGAGTCAGTGAAGAGTGAGAGGAAAGGAGAGGAAGGATGCTACCCTTTGAGTCCAGAAAGTCAACAATTTAGGTGAAAACTCATCTGTGTACATCAGAAATATACTGATAGAGGGGGAAAAAAGGAAAAAGATTTTTAAAAAACCCATAAAAGAACTATATAGCAAGATAATTAGGGTTGGCTCTGCAGTGAAAGGAATACTGGTGATAATTTCTCTTCCTGCCTTCTCCTGCCCGCACCCAATTTTGTAATGAACATTTATTTTTGTAACAAAATATTTAAAGATATCTAATCTTAAAAACTGACAATTTCCGGGGTGCCTGGGTAGCTTAGTTGGTTAAGGGTCCTGGGATTGAACCCCGCATCGGGCTCCAGCAGGGAGCCTGCTTCTCCCTGTGCCACTCCCCCTGCTTGTGTTCCCTCTCTCGCTGTCGGTCTCTCTCTCTGTGTCAAATAAAATCTTTTAAAAAATTAAAAAACTGGCAATTTCCAATACAATTTAACAGTATATCCATTAATTAAGGATGTTAATTTACATATACAAAATCCTGAATAAGCCAATAAACTCTCCGTTAAAATGTTAGCTATTTGAAATATTCTGAGAATTTTCCAGATAACCCAGAGTCAACCTTCTTTACCAGTTTCCAAATATTTTTTCTCAAAGACCGTCTTCCTATAAAAATTAGATTTGTTCTTTGACACGAACATAACTTCAGGACAATATTAATATCCCGTCAATATTAACACATGAAAATGACATTATTTCATTATTTACCAGTTCAATAAATTTTAGTTTTGTTCAGTCATGCTGAGAAACGAAGGTCGTTTATGAAAAAAACACATATAATTACTCAGATTTCTATGGTTTTTGGACTCAAGTGTTCATCACTTAACATCGGCATAAGAGCATATAAACCTGCATACTGGTTTCCTAATTCGAGGGGACTTTTACCATTTGAGTACCATCAGTGGAACTGGGTGTACATCCTTTTGCTACATC